GTACCTGTTGGTTGCAGCGACAGCTATTCCGCCAACTTTGATGCCAACGTAAAACCAGTTTACACCAACTGCATGAAAAATAATGTGTTGATCCCACATTATGTGCTGTCGATCAGACGTGGACGCGCTGGTTTATTGACTGTCAATTGCTCCACAGAACCCATTGTGTTACCAGATGGTCTAAAGTTAGCCGTCGTCAGTGGACAACACGAGGCCTTACTGGTGACCGAGCTTGAAGATGCACCGGAAAAGCATCGTAGTCACAGTTTGGAAACGGCTTTTCTGTCAATGGTGAATAAGTCGCTGAGCACAAGTGAACGCCGAACATTGGGGGATGTAATTTCGTAGCACGTTTCTGCATTCGACTTTGCGCAGAAAGACAAAGCACCCTTAATCCCTGCTTCTCGGACATGTCACACTATCAACACTGGTTTGGCCAATCCGATTAGACAAAAGCCCTACCGTGTCTCACCATCCGAGCGGCGGATTAATAATGAGCCGGTGAACTAAATGATTCAAAACAGGGTCATTCAAGAGCCTGTGAGTCAACGGCGGCTCCAGTAATTTTCGTTAAAAAGAAAGACGGACGCTGGAGATTTTGCGTCGAATATCGCCGATTGAATGCTGTAACAAAAAAAAACGTGTACCCACTTCCAGGTATTAATGATGCCATAGACTGTCTACATTCGGTCTCTTACTTTTCGTCTGTAGAATTAAGATCAGGCTACTGGGAAGTTCCCATGCATCCTGAAGATAAATAAAAGACAGCCTTTGTAACTCCTGACGATCTTTTTTAATTCAACGGTGATGCCATTTGGACTGTGCAATGCACCGGTGATGTTCGAGCGATTTACGGACACTTTTCTTCGTAGCTTGAAGTGGAGAATTTGCATGTGCTATCTCGACGACGTTGTCATCTTTGGCCGCACCTTTAGCGAACACAATTCACGTCTGGATACTGTTCTGACTTGCATAAGAAACGCCGGCCTTGTTCTTAACTCAAATGAGTGCCACTTCGGAGACTGACAATCCCTTGTTCTCGGACACCTAGTCGATCAGGATGGCATCCGTCCAGATCCCCAGAAGATAGCAGCCGATAAAACGTTCAGTGCGCCACGCTGTGTGAAGGAGCTCCGAAGTTTTCTTCGGCCTTGCTTCTATTTTAGCCGCTTTATACCTAAATTTGCCAATGTCACGTATCCGCTGACATGTTTGCTACGGAAGAATATTTCCTTCGAGTGGACTCCGGAGTGCGACTCCTCTTTTCGTCAACTGAAGTTCCTCCTGACGTCGCGACCTCTTCTTCAACACTTCAACCCACCAGCTCCAACAGAACTGCACACGGATGCCAGCGGCATAGGAATTTGTGTTGTCCTAGTTCAACATTATGGTAATCGTGAGCACGTTATCGCATACGCAAGTCGCTGCTTGAGTATGCCGGAGCATAATTACACTGTCACAGAACAAGAATGCCTCGCGGTAGTATTTGCGATTCAGTGGTTTCGGTCTAACCTATGTGAACGCCCTTTTACAGTCGTCACCGACCACCACTCATTGTGTTGGCTCGTCAACCTTCGGGACCCTTGCGGCCGTCCAGCGCGCTGGGCACTTCGGCTCTAAGAGCATAACTTCATCGTCTCGTACAAAAGTGGTCGGTGACAGGCCGACGCATACTGCCTTTCGCGCATGCCACTGAGCATTACAGAGTGTGACGCCGATGACCTTGACCACCTCGAGGCTTCTGTGTCACAAAAGTTTCCCGACCTCAGTACTCTCAAAGATGAACAGCGAAAAGACACCAGGCTATCATTGCTCTGCACAGCTCCTACGGCATGCCATTTCTGTGTACGCAACGGACCCCTGTATAGGAAGAACTTTTCCGTCACTGGCGCACGTTTCCTCCTGGTAGTGCATGAAAGCCTTCGGACAGCGATTTTAAGTGCTATGCACGACGATCTTACGTCCGCACATTTAGGTTCGGCGCGGATGCTTTACCGTGCTAAGGAATGCTTTTATTGGCCGGAAATGCGACAGTCAGTCGAGGTGTATGTGGCCAGTTGCACGCCGTGTCAATGGCACAAACTCCCATCTACTGCTCCGGCTGGTCTTCTACAGTCCTTGACACCTTCAAATACACTTTTCCAACAAGTGAGAATTGACCTCGTGGGCCCTTTTCCAAAGTCGGCTAAGGGCAATCGCTGGATAATTGTATTCGTCGATTACCTCACGTGCTACTGCGCGACGGCGGCCACACCAACCGCAACTTCCAGCCACGTCTCTGTGTTCCTCCTGCAGCACGTTATCCTCCGACATGGCCCCCCTCACGTGATCATCAGTCATCGTGGATGATAATTTACGGCAGATATAGTAGAAGAGCTGCTTCGATTGAGTGAGTCCCGCCTTCGTCACCCGTCACCATACATTCCGGAAACAAATGGGCTCACGGAGCGCACCAACCACACAATTGTAGACATACTCTCTATGTATGTGGCATTTGACCACAAGAACTGGGACGACGTGCTACCATTTATAACGCACGCGTTCAACACCACTAAGCACGAGACAACAGGCTATAGCCCCTTTTTCTTGATGTACGCAAGACCGCCACGGCACACACTCGACACAGTTTTGCCATTCTTGGCGCACGAAAACCTCTCAGTCACCGAAACCCTCTGCCTTGCAGAAGAGGTGCGTCGTATTGCTCGTCTGCGCACTTTAGCATTACAGAAAAATCTAAGGCAAGCTATTACGTCCACCACCGGCCTGTAAATTGCCATCCAGGCGACTTAGTGTAGTTCTGGAGTCCGGTACGAAGACGTGGATTATGCCAAAAGTTCTTGGCCACATATGACGGACCGTTTGTTGTTGTCAACAAAATCACGAAAGTCACGCACACAATAGCTCGCCTCACGTGAAGTGGTAGAAGAGCCGCTAAAACCCAAGCAGTCCATGTCGCTCGACTGGAGTTGTACACACCAAGGTGAATCAATCCCCTCGCCCGGCGGGCTTCGTCTGCGAGGGGAGGAATGTTGCGCATGCCTGGAAAGAAAAAGAACATGGGTGAACATGCTGGCTACCCCAAGCTGGAGAAAGAGGAAAGACGACGACACTGCGATCATCAACCTGTTGGCTGCTTCGGCGCTTCTCTTCGCGACAAAAATAAACGGCCCCTTCAGCTGTATGCGTCCTGGTCTTCCTTGTGCGTAACAATATATGAATTATTTCAACTTTTCCTCGGGGGCCGGGTGCGTCCTTCCAATTCATCCTTCAGACGCTTCTTTTCGTCGGCCGACGTGAATTCCCGACGAAAAGCTGCGACAAAGTCATCCCACGAGGCGAGGGGTCCGGTGAAGCAATACACAACTTCGCGCTTCCGTCAAGAGCCGCGGTAAAGACGCGGCGAACTCGGTCTTCCGTGGGTATGCCATTAATCAGACGAAAATTGTCCACCTCGCTAAAGAATTCCTCCTGCGTCTGTACATCCCTGGACCCCGCGAACCTCGGCAGCATCGTCGCAATGGGGGATGTGACCGTCATTAGGGTAGCCGGTGCCGGCGGTCCAACAAAGGCTGGTTGGGGTTCGTCGCTCACGGGTATCAAGGAAGCAGCCATTAGCGCTTGCCGCAGCTCGGCTGCAACGCGCTCACGTTCCATTGCAGATCCATTAGTCTTGTTTCAGCATAAACCGCACGAATTCGTCATGAATTTCAGTCAGCTCAATCCAGGACGAGACCCCAGTTGTCTGTTCATTAGGCGTCACTCCCCAGTCCCCGCGACTCCAATGTCCTACTACAACACCGTCCGCTCACGCACTGCCCACACAGGTCCGATGTCCACTGTTGCCACCTCATCCAGGGGGCGCCGCATACCCTCAGTCAGTACTGATGGATGTCCTCACAGATGGTGAAATGCTTTGCTACACTGCACTTGCACTACCAAAACTAGAGTACGCATGCATAATATGAGACCCATACACAAAGCATAATATTCACACTCTTAGACTGATTCAAAGAGAGGCTATACAATTTATATTTCACAAGTTTCCCACTTTCAACTCTTCTTCAATTTTCATCTAAGCAAAAGACATTCTCTTATTACAGGTACACAGGCACAAAGCTAGATAAGAATTTTTCAACTTTAGAACAAAAAAACTAGCTCTACATTCATCCCCGTATTTGACACCTCTAACTTCCAGGCCATTCCGCGACTACCACGCCAACACCTTAACCTCACATTGTGCTCGCGCTGACCTATATTTGTATTGATATTTTTCAGGAATAATTCCTTTTGTGATTCTTAACAGCGAAGAGAAAAGATAAAAGTGAGCCCCGTAACAGTCTGCATCATAGTGCGACACCTCAACAGTAGCTCACAAGGAATGGGGTTAAGTAGGGATTAAAAGGATAGGATTAAAGGTATAGGGCTAGATAAGGGAAAGGAGAGAGCATAGCTCAGGGACAACAACACCCAGAAGCAAGGAGAAAATAAAAATGGACACGGTTGCACGAGTTTGAGGACGGGGCACCACTCAGCGAGAGCTCTTTTAGGCGGCAGATGGCGTACGGCTAGCCAGTCGGCCAAAGCTGCGCTTTCGTCGGAGATCACAGGGCTACAATAGGTCGGCACGGAATCCAGAGAGCGAGTGCAAGAATGATTAGCAAATGCAATGGTGTTACTAATACATGAGATGAGACTGTAAATTGACATTGTTTCACTTGTATTGCTTTTGAGTTATTGCTTCTTCTTTTGTATTTGTATTAACCACCCTACGTAGGACATGAGCCTGCCATATAGAATAATTCAAATAAAGTAAATAAATATAGACTGCACAGCGCCTTTCCAAAGCACAAGCCACCATCTCACTCCCTCTTTCACCCCTTCAGGAGCCTCAAGATGTGGCCACAGCTTTTACTAATTCTTATTTGAAGAGTGTCTGAATGAATAGATAATAGGCTTAGCCACTAAATCCGTAGGAATGGTGCCATTGTCAGACAGCTCACCTGCGTGATGTGGTCCATGCTTTTGCGCAGCTGCAGCCGCAGCGCGTTCACCTCTGTCCTGGAGGCTTCGAGTTGTGCCTGCATGGCACGCGCAGCTTGCACGATGTCCCGACAACTGCCAGCCAGTAGGCGCACGTAGGCGCCTGCCTCATCCATGTCGTCCAGCTGGCGCAATTTGTGCTCCACCGTGGTCCATGTACTGTCGGCGCGCTGCAGCACCGGGATGCGAGACACAGGGCTCTCGGCCATGGTTCTGAGCACAGGAAACAGAGAAACGCCTTTTATTTGCTGCTTGCGTGAAATAAATACTAACTTGATATCAACGCCAACACTGAGGGAGACGAGAGAACGAGCTGCTGGTTCAAATGGGTATGCCATACAGTTAATGGCTATTGTCCTATTAGCAGAGCCCAGAAGTACAGCACCAAGAGAATTCGAAAGCTGTTGCGGCAGCTTCGAATGACATTAGGCGAGGTTTTGTTTCGGCAGCATGGAATAGAAATCCTAGAGGACATTCGAGATCAGCACAATGGCTGCAGAGAAAAAAGTCACCGCGTAGGGCATCCGTACATGGGTGGCAAGTTTACAAAACGTACTAATCTGTGTTTGATGGAAGGTACTGTTCTGCGTGAAGGCCATAGCTGTTTCACTGGGAGCACTGAGATGCCTACTTTTACGATGTTACTATATGCCGCAAAGTCAAACTAAAGACTCGCTCTGACTCCTTCTAACGCGCATTACGTTGCACAAGAAAACAAATCTCAAAATAACAACTTCCCTTTTACCACAGCGCAGCATAAGACCTGCATCAGTGGACTACTCATTCCATTCCTTCAACAATAACGTTCACAGATTTGCGACAATGTTCGATTACTAAGATATATAACTGGGACAACATGAAGTGAAATTCGAATTCTATATGTGAAGTGTAGTATGTCTTTGGTTATGAACGAATTATTCTCGAAGCTCCTAATTAATATCGGTGTTTGAATGAAGTTAGTTTTATGCAGTACTATTTATTCTCTTTTCATATATGTTTCACAGATACAATAGCCCTACAAATAAAACGGTACAATAGCACTGAAATTGGCAGTGCCCTCTTCGTTAACTGAATGTGCAACGTTAGTGTTATTTGAAGGATGCGGGATTGGGCCCAATCGACAGGTGGCAGGAATGTTTTTTCCGTACACATCAGTTCATTTAGGTCACTATAAAAATTACTAGACTACAATTATAAATAGCAAATTATATTTCCTGCGCTCTTCTACCCTTAAATGCCTCACGGTTTTGCTAGAGTATGAGCTGTGCTCCACTCTTGGCAACCATTCTGACATGCAATGATAGGCCGCAAAAAAGCGCCGGGCCTGAGCGGAAAGTGCAGCCCAGTCTCCGCGACAGCTGGAAGAGCGGAATTTCGAGAAACCGTCATAAACGCTCTTGAGAACACTTATAAGAATACAATTGCACAGTATCCACCACTTCATAAATTTTACGCTAATTATCATTATTCTACAAAAAGCGCGGTACCCGCTTCTTATTTGCAGAACATTATTGCTCTTTGTTGATGAATGAATAGCTCTGAGCCATTTGTATTGGTTTTTGGGCATTATTTACAGACCCACTAGTCGCACAATTCGTATTATGCGACGCCTGTTTATAGTTGGTTGTTGTGCGACGCAGGATAATATGTGGTTGTTATTTCACTTTGTACTACAAATGTTCACGTAGTTTCGTCCCAACATGATGCCTGTGTAGCACCTTCTTGCAAAGAGTTTTGGGGCACGGCGATGGCTCTTCTAGTAGACTGTGCTGAAAGCCTGAGACAATTTATTACTGTTTTATAGATTGTCGTTATTCAGTGCTCTTTAGGGAGTGTGGGAAGCACTGAGAAAAGCTTCGAAATTAATTTTTTCAATATGGTAGGACCTTATAAATTGACCAAATATTGCCTATTTGTCCCCTTTTATGAATTGACCCAACCTTTCATATTCGTCTGGATAGGCCTTGGAGAGCAGGACTGAGTGACAGACATGCTGAACCTCCGCGATCAACCGAAAAAGTATCCCTAGAGCAAATAATTCAAACAAAAGGCGTATATGAACTTTATAGTGGTGCTCTAGATTGGTTTCCTGTGTTTGCCGTGTGCTTTGTTTTGCCAGAATAATAACTTTTCACAATCTTTGTGCAACAGCTTCATTCGCTGTAATAAGTGAGAAATCAATAAATAAAATGAAAATCATGGGTGCCATTCTTGCCCAGACCAAGAATTTTTTATCATTTACTTATTAGTATCTATCTCAGAATATGTTCCACACAGAACGCCAATATTTTTATCCCATTCATTGATGATGCCTATGCCGACACTGGAATTTGTGCGAAACCAGTTATTTAACGCTAGGGCGTTAATATTGCAGCCCTCTAGGATTACGGTTTATATTTATGGCAGCAGTGCTAAAATATCGCGCTCTTATAATCGATAATAACTCCTACAGTGTTCGCATTCACTTGATCACGGTGCATCGTAAGGAAAACGGTTACGCCAGAACAATCATAATTAACGGCGCCTACTAAACTCATAGGTGCGCCTCCCCGTATAAAACAACGAAACCGCATACCTCATGTACAAAAGATATTAACCCTAACTACAAGCAATGCTTGAAAAGCAAGTATGTTCGCATACAGAAATTCAGAAGCTAAGCTTTCTCACAGTCAGAGTACCTATCTATGAATAGAGCAAAGAATGACGCATTGTATGAATATACGCATATACTTATAAATAATGAATAATCATCCTCACGCTATCTGCCCTTTCGACAATGGTGTTGCTGTCATGCGAAGATTCTTTTTCTTTCTTGTAAAACTCAATTAATCATGAAATCCTGGGAGAATATTATTTTAAAGAAAATAATCAGATAGCCCGAATAACAACACGCAGCCTGCCATATGGTACCGTCTGTTTGATTCTCGTGCCTAAGCAAAACTCGGCGTGCTTTGAGCAAGCACCCGGCAGATACCTTGAGGTTTCGGGGGCCTGGCTTCTCCCAGCAGCTTCTTGTCGTTGCAAACACGAGCGTTTTCGCAGCTGCCCTTTGGCGAAGCAAGACCCTGCTGCGCTGATAGGACAGTGTACACACAGCCCGATAACAACCACTCCCCTCACTCACAGCTATTATCGGCACTCTAGCAACCCGGCGCACAGCACAGCAGTAGATGCTGACATCGTGTGGGTCGCTTAGAGCTCACGGCTGCGTAAGGCGAATTCGCTTGACAGAAACAAGTGCGCACTTAGAAGTGCATTATGTGCGTTGAGCTTACGAAGCATTCAGATTGATACCCAATGCGTATTCTGTACATCGGTATCGTATTCATTGATGATATTGTTGCGAAAAGTAAAGAAAAGAAAAGTACTCCAGCAGTCAAGATGGCAGCCGTTGTGTATTTCGAACAGCCCAAAAACGTCGTCGTCTTCTTCTTCGCACCGCCCGCATAGCTGCATAGCCGCGAACCCGCAACATCGACCTCCGGCGGCGAAAAGCGCCGACCCGGCGCTTGTTAGCAGGTGTTGGACGAGATGTACGGCTTGAGGCGAGCGACGTGGACGATGTCGGAAGATGTGGAAGGTATCGAAGGGTTTAGAGGTGCTATTTCATAGGTAACATCAGTTACCTGCCGTAGCACACGATAAGGTCCGGAATACTTGGGTAGAAGCTTTTCAGCCAGACCAACATGTCGCGACGGAGTCCACAGAAGAACGAGGTCACCTGGACTAAAGTGGACGTCCCGATGGTGGCTGTCATAGCTACGTTTCTGACGGAGCTGCGAGTCCGAAAGGCGCTGGTGGGCAATCTGACGGGCTTTCTCCGCGGTGCTAATAGCGCGGCGAGCATATGCTGTGGACAGGTCGGTAGGGTTGGGTACAAGCGTGTCGAACGGCAATGTCGGGTCTCTTCCATACAAAAGGTAAAAGGGAGAATATCCAGCAGTGTCGTGGCGTGAGCTATTGTAAGCGAAAGTGACAAAGGGTAGCGCAATGTCCCAGTCACGATGATCCGTCGACACGTACATGGCGAGCATGTCAGTGAGTGTGCGATTCAGACGTTCTGTGAGGCCGTTTGTTTGAGGATGGTAGGCCGTCGTAAGCTTGTGCTTGGTTGCACAAGAACGAAGTAGATCGTCAATTACCTTAGATAAAAAGTAGCGACCGCGATCGGTGACCAGTTGACGAGGAGCACCATGATGTAAGATGACGTCTTGAATCAAAAAGTCGGCGACATCTGTAGCGCAGCTGCTTGGAAGAGGTCTCGTAATTGCGAAACGGGTCGAGTAATCTATGGCGACGGCGACCCACCTGTTACCGTCGGTAGAAAGAGGGAAAGGGCCCAGCAGGTCGAGGCCGACACGATAGAAAGGCTCGGCAGGTACGTCGATCGGTTGAAGGAGCCCGGCGGGGTGTACCGCTGGCTTTTTGCGGCGTTGGCACGACTCACAAGACCTAACATAACGTTGTACAGAACGGTAGAGGCCGGGCCAGAAAAAGCGTCGGCGGACACGGTCGTACGTTCTGGCAACACCAAGGTGGCCAGCCGTTGGTACATCATGTAGTTGCTGAAGTACGGTCGAGTGCAAATGAGTGGGTATTACGAGTAGTAGTTCGTTTCCCACATGGTGCATGTTGCGGCGGTATAAAATGCCGTCTATGACAACGAACATGCGAAGCGAACTGTCTGTACAGCCTGTGTTCAGGCGGTCGATTAGCTCGCGTAGGGACGCGTCACGCCGTTGCTCACATCCCATGTTGCCGAAAGCAGAGAGCGAGGAAATACAGATGGACGCGTCGTCGGTTACTAGATCTGGAGCGTCAACGGGGTACCGAGAGAGGCAGTCGGCGTCTTGGTGTAAACGGCCAGACTTGTAAACCACTGTGTATGTGAATTCCTGGAGGCGCAGAGCCCAACGAGCAAGGCGCCCCGTTGGATCTTTGAGGGCTGAAAGCCAGCATAGAGCGTGATGGTCAGTGGTAACTGTGAAAGGCCGGCCATATAAATAGGGGCGGAATTTACCAACTGCCCATACAAGCGCCAGGCACTCGCGTTCCGTAATAGAGTAATTGCGTTCGGCAGGAGAAAGGAGCCGGCTGGCATACGCAAGAACTCGATCGTGACCGGATTGACGCTGGGCTAAAACCGCGCCAATACCGTAGCCACTAGCATCAGTGCGGACCTCGGTTGGAGCAGACGGGTCGAAGTGGGCGAGAATCGGTGGCGTGGTCAGAAGTGTTATGAGCTGGGAAAAGGCCGTGCCTTGATCAGGACCCCACTCAAATGGTACATCTTTCTTCAAAAGATCAGTGAGGGGGCGTGCGACCTCTGCGAAGTTTCTGACAAATCGTCGGAAATATGAGCATAGGCCCACAAAACTTCGAACGTCCTTGACACAAGTCGGTACAGGAAAATCCAGGACAGCTCGGACTTTGTCGGGATCGGGGCGGATGCCGGAGGAGTCAACGAGATGCCCTAGAATAGTAACTTGGCGATGCCCAAAATGGCATTTCGAGGAATTAAGTTGGAGCCCAGCCTCTCGAAATACTGAAAGAATTGAGGAAAGGCGCTCGAGGTGAGACTTAAAGGTTGGGGCAAACACAATCACGTCGTCCAGATAACACAGGCAGATAGACCATTTAAAGCTGCGCAAAAGCGTGTCCATCATCCGCTCGAACGTTGCCGGCGCATTGCACAAGCCAAACGGCATTACCTTGAATTGGTAGAGACCGTCAGGCGTTACAAAGGCGGTCTTCTCCCGGTCGAGGTCGTCCACGGCGATCTGCCAGTAACCGGAGCGTAAGTCTATCGAAGAAAAATAGGTTGCGCCATGAAGGCAGTCCAGGGCATCATCAATACGAGGAAGCGGGTAGACATCCCTTTTGGTGACCTTGTTTAAATGCCGATAGTCCACGCAGAAACGCCAGGTATTGTCCTTCTTTTTAACTAAGACTACAGGGGACGCCCACGGACTCGATGAGGGCTCTATGATGCCTTTTGTGAGCATCTTATTCACCTCCTGTTGGATAACTTGGCGTTCTGATGGTGACACTCGATAGGGACGCCTGTGAATTGGAGCTGCATCACCGGTATTAATGCGATGTTTGACTTGCGATGTTTGACTTATGGGCCTACCGTCAAAGTCAAATATGTCCGAATAGCTCGTGAGAAGATCAGTGAGGTCTTTGACCTGAGACGGCAAGAGGTCTGAGGCAATCATCTTAGTTACATTGTTGAGCCGTGTAGATTTGGCTGGGTCGGTGCTATGCGGGTTCGGCGAGGCGACTGTGGCCAGTTCACGTGACACTGATGAGATCTGGCACTCGTGTGACGGTGAAAGAGTGGCGAGAACAATGCCTTGTGGTAGGATTTGAGGGCTGAGTCCGAAGTTCAGAAGAGGAAGGCACGTCTTGTTCGCTGTGACAGTTAATATGGTGTACGGGGAGGAAACGTTGCGGGCCAATAAAACACCGGGAGAGGGAAAGACCACGTAATCCCCATCCGGAACACTGGGATACGGTTCAACTGTGACACAAGTTAGGGCTTGGGGTGGGAGGCGAACAAACTCAGCGCACGAAAGCTTGTTCTGTACCATCTTCGACTCTTCGGTGGCCGCAGGCAAGTCAAGTTGCACGACGCCGGCTGAGCAGTCAATTACAGCGGAGTGGTCGGACAAAAAATCGAGTCCAAGGATGACGTCATGTGGACAGTGAGCGAGAACATGGAATAGAACGGACGTCTGGCGGTCGGCGAATCTCACACGCGCGGTGCACATTCCGAGCACAGCCGGGGTCGCTCCACTAGCGACACGTACAAATAGGGACTCTGGCGGCGTAAGGACCTTGTTTAATCGTGCACGGAGGTCAGAGCTCAGAATTGAAATATGTGCGCCGGTGTCAATAAGGGCAGTAACAGGAAGGCCATCCACTTCTACATCAAGCAGGTTCTTGTCCGTAGTCAAGGTCAGCAGAGGGTTTTCAGGTCGGGAGTCCAATGCAGCGTCACCTCCGGGAGCTGCATTGCTCAGTTTTCCGAAGAAGGGCGTCCACTAGGGTGGGGCGACGAATAGCGGCGGTGCTGAGGTGACCTGGAGCGACGGTCATGCGGGGACGGCGAACGGCTGGACCGGCGGACTGGTGTCGCAGGAGTGCCATTGTACGGTCCATCGTCACGAGCGCTGTACTGCAGGGGCCGGTGGTTGTCGTCACGTCGATAGCCAGGAAACGACCGAGGTGGATACGTGCGGAAACGACAGTAGCGGGAGATGTGTCCTACACCATGACAATGAAAACATATAGGCTTGTCGTCCTGTGTCCTCCACTGAGCAGGATCACGATAGCGGCGGAATCTTTCTGGTGCAGGAGAAGGCGCTATGGTACTGACCCGAGGTTCCGTCAACGAACACACAGGCTGCAGCCCAACGTTTGCCAGCTCCTCTCTCACGACCTGTTGGATCAACGAGATCGTTGGTCGATCATCAGATGGGCGGGTCAGAAAAGACGGAGACGCGGCCTCGATTTCTCTACGAACGATGCGAACCACACTTTCGTTGTTATGTGGTTGACTGCATGGCGGCTGAAGGTCCTCGCAAGATGACGTAGCGGCCGTGTTCGGAAGTCGCAAGAAATTCTTGGCGACCCGGCGACTCTTCAGCTCTTCGAATCGGCGGCACTCTTTGATGATGTCATCAATGGTGGAACAGTCTTTGGAAACCAGTATGTTAAAAGCATCATCTGCAATGCCTTTAAGTAAATGGCTTACTTTGTCTTCCTCGGACATGTTGGGGTCGGCACGATGGCAAAGGGCGAGAACGTCAGGGATGTAGGTGACATATGATTCGGTCGTAGTTTGTGCCCGACCAGAGAGTTCTTTAGAAGCGGCCCGCTGGCGTCCGACGGCCTTACCAAACAGGTCACGAAGCTTCTGTTTGCAAGTATCCCAGCTGGTTATGTCCGCTTCATGAGCCTCGAACCACGCGCCAGCTGTTCCGCAGAGATAGAAGCCAACGTTGGCGAGCATCATCGTAGGGTCCCACCGGTACACTGCTGCAAACCGCTCGAACTTCGGAATCCAGTCGTCAACGTCAACA